CCCCTCCACTGGAACCGCTGCTCCCCAGCCACACGGCCCATCCGTACAGTAAATTAAAAATATGAATCACTTCTCCCCACTGCCTCCCCAAACGCTCATCTTGTCAGCCTCCATGTTGCCTTCATTTGTATTACCTTAATTTAATGTTAATTATGGTCTTCATTTACAAGGAACAAGCGAGCCCTGCTCTGCCAGGGGACCCTCCTGCCCCTCCCCCTCAGCTGGAGGAGAGGCTGGAGGAGACGGGCCGCAGAAGGGATGAAGAGGGTGTTGGGGAGGCCATGAAAGGTGATCTGGGCCCTCAGCGGCTGGTGGCCATTCCGGGAGGGGCTGGGGCACCCCCACCTCCTCCACACACCCTGTCTTCAATCACTTATTCATTCAACATCTACTTATTGAGCACCTAGTATGTGTCAGGTGTCCAAGGAACAGAGAGGCCGGCACCATTTTGCCTGGTCAGGGACGATGGTTATCGCCCCTCCATCCCAAGGTCCATGTGCTGGAAAGCAGCCACGCGGGACAGCCATTCTCCAGGTGGTTGATGGCTTGCGGGCTCTTTCCGCATCTCTCCTGCTGCACACTGGCCAGCCTCAGAGTCCAAGGGTATAGGGCAGGAGAGGCCGGGAGGGCAGGGGTGGCTCCTGGTCCCTGCTGTCACCAGCACCCACGGTGGAGCCCTCCTAGCCCTTGGTTGTCAGTGGAATGTGGAGTCTGTAGGAGCTCCATAGTGTGGGTAGCAGATGTCTCGCAAGGAGCCACCGGCTCGGAAGCCACCATTAACCATCCTCATCCCCGCTGCAGGGAGCAGGGGCTCCAGCGGCGAGTCCTGCCTGCAAATGGGGTGCTCCGAGCGAGCGCAGCCCGACTGACCCAGGCTCAGAGACCCCGACCTCCAGTCCCAGCGCCCCTTGGGTTCTGCGTGCACTAGTGAGTGTACACAACGTGCTCAGCAGCCCGTGTGCACACACACGCACACCCCGCCCGCGCGCGCTGTCAGCAGCGCTGATGACATTGGCGCTGAGGAAAGTGATGACAAATGCCCGTTATCAGCGAACGAGGCCGATGACAAATGGGCGGGCGCCCGAGCAGCCCCATTACGCTGTAATAACAGAAGATGGATGGCTCGGCGCCCCCCACCCCGAGGCCGCGCGGGAACGGCCAAACCACCGCGCCCGCCGCCCGTCGCGGGGCCTGGGAGCCTACGAGCCTACGGTCCGCGGGGAACAATGCACGGCTCAACCGGCGCGTGGGTGGATGGGGTCTGGCCTCCCCGCCACCGCCGGATCGCAGGTGCATGCACACACAGCCTGCACGCGCGCCAGCGCCTGTGACAGTGCAAGGAGTAGCTGCAGCTCGCATCAGGCTGAGTCCTGACCTCACAGAACCACACACGCACGCATGCTTCACGCCACGCGGAAGCACACGACTGCCTACACGTGTGCCCACACCCCACCATCCTGCCGGGCCTTCAAAAACCAGTTGAATGCGTGCGCACGCCGCTCCCGACACAGCTGCACACGCTGAGTTGGGGTAAGCAAGCACACAAGCAGCCCCACGCTCCAGACACAACCCTGGGGGCCAAACACCCTCGTGACACGCCCGGAGCCCTGGTGTCCACGCGGCGCTGGCTGGGGTCATGAGGGCCATGGAACCACCTCCGTCTTCCGGAGGTCAGGCTTACCCGCCGGGTCCAACGGGCCACGGCTGAGGGCAGACCGTTACTTGGCTTTGGCCCAGAAGCATCCTGGAGCCCACAATGCCTGATGCCCATATTTGGGGGGGGACGCCCTGGGTGAGTGCTGGGAATGGGACCCAGCGCTGCGGGGCGCAGGGAGGAGGAGGCCAGGCCGCTGGGCCTGTGCAGGCCACATGGCCTGGGATTTTGAAACAGAGGGCTCAATTTGATCCTGTTGTCTGTCTTGAAATTCTTTTTAATTTTTATAATAGGAGCCCTGTACTCAAAAACTATATAGGCAGACCTGGGTGTGGGGTCCACAGCAGAGCGGGTTCGCACAGGGCCTTCAGGCCTCTGGAGGGTGCGGGACTGAGGCAATGGGCGAAGATGCGGGTTTTCACCCCGAACTGCTGCCGTCACGCGCTTCTCCCGGTGCGGGTTTCTCCCTGCCCACACCCCTGGCGCAGGGCGGGCCGGACCTCCCCAGCGTGCCTACATACCCCGGCCGGGCACTTGTTTGTTGAATGCACACAGAAGCGCACGGATGGATGCGTCTGCGGGTTCACTGGCACACCCACGGGCAGGGGCATCGTGTCCCCAGGAGAGCACACAGACCCACTGTCCCCGGCCCATATTTCCTCCAAGGCCACCTCACCACCGTGGCAGCTGGGGGGCAGAATGCCCTTGCCTCGGCGGTCTTGTGGAAGACAGGGCTGGGCAGGAGCTGAGGGTGAGACCCACAGCGAAGGCAGAGGCCCAGGATGGGGTGAGGGAGGGGCAGGCACCGCGGGGCTCCCGCGCGCGCACCGCCCCCTTCTGTGCTCCGGGTCTTCGGCCGAGCGCCCCGGAGGCCTCTGGGGCCACCGCCTCCTGCCCCTCGGGCTCCCCGGTGACCTCCAAGCCTCCCGCCTCCCGCAGGAAGCGCAGGTCGGCCCCTTAGGCAGGCAGGTCGCAGCGGCCGCGAGCCTGGGGCGGGGGCGGGGGTCGGCCAGTGCCGGGGTCCCCCGCCGCCTCAGCGCGCGGAGCATCCCCAGCGGCCGCCGCAGTCGCTGGTCGCGCAGCTCGCTCCGCCCCGCCAAGCCCTGCGGACTAGGATGGGGCCTGTTCCCACGTCCCGCCTTCGGCTCGCGAGCCTGAGGTGCGGGGTTGGAGCCGTAGCCACCGCCCCAGCCCGCGATAGGGTCGTGGGCCCCGGCCCGGGGCTCCACCCCCGCCCCCCACCGGGTCCCAGCCGCTCCCCGCCCCCTCCCCGCCTGTCCTCGTGCGCCCTCTGCCGGCCACTCGGCTAGTGGCGCCTCCGGCCCAGTCCGGACTTGGTCCCCCGGGGACTCCTCCCTGGAAACCCGAGATGGGGGCTGGGGCGCACGGCGCAGTCCGCACAGCTCTCCACGGCTGCCGGGGTGCCTCTACCGGCCGAGGGCCTGAGGGAGAGTCCGGGATTGGAGAGGAAGGGGAGCCCCCAGGGAAAACAGCCGGGCTTCCTGAGTACCGAGGTCTGCGTGAACCCCAGCTCTGAACCTCTGCGCTGTGTGACTCAGGAGAAATGAAGGTACCTCTGTGTCCCACGGGGACGAGACCTGGAAGTGGCGAGATCCACGCCCCCTGGCTTAAGGGTGGACTGGCCAGGCCCAGGACTCTAATCCGTCAACGCTGCCAAAGCTTTCTTGAAACAAACCCGACGCACGGTGTGCAGCTAACCCAGGTCTTCCTGGGGTTCCCTCACTCGCTGCGCGGGTTTCTCCAACCTCCGAGGAAGCTGGCGCCCTCCAGTGGGGACCAGAAACATCGTCTCGGGCCCCTGGCGGGCACTGTCGGAAAGGCGCCCGACGACCGGGAACCGGACTCAGATCAGAGGCTCCGCCCCGCCTGCCTGGGAAAGGGGCGCAGTAGAAAGGGAGCCGCATCCAGGGCGTGGTCCCAGGTAAAGCCGGGGGAGCGTGAGGGTCCTGGCGCCTGGGAAGGCTCCGCGCGGTCCCAAATTTAGCTGCAGCTAGACTTTCACAAGTCATACCTACTTCTGGAGAGTGGGGTCCTGGCAGGGTCGCTGAGCTGGGGCACCCCAGCCCACAAGCTGAAATGCAGGGCTGTCCTCTGGCATCTCAGAAGTGCCGCAGCTGGCAGACTTGCTCCCCGTGGGGCCTGGACTGCAGGCCCTGCTTCCTTGCTGGCTGGCAACCTGGTCCGCTCCTCAGGGGTCCTCTGCGCCTGCTCTCTCTGACTGCTCCTTCTGCGGCCAGCTCAGGAAAGCCTTGACCAAGGGCTTCTCGTGGTTACACCAGGCCGGCCAGATAGTGCCCTCTGCCACAGCTGTGCCTTTTCTAGAGGTGTCCCCACTTCTCACAGCTGAAGATTTCGCCCACAGTGGCAGAGCCGGCCACTACTAGAGCCGCGCTGAGCACCCTGCCCTGTACCCTGCCTAGGGTGGGCAAGTCCCCCTGCCAGCACTGGCCACCCTGGCCTCTGTGACACATTCTCCAGTGGCCCCCAGCCTCATGGCCTCGGTTTTGTCATCTGCAAATGGAGCTAGGGGCTGAGCAACAATGGAAATTCCTCCAGGGTCTTGAGTGACTGACGCAAGAAGACAGAGCATCCTAACCCCTAGGACCAGGAGCTGCACTGCTGGGGGCAGCCTGCAGTGATGCCAGCTTCTGCCCAGGAAGGGCATCCCCAACGACCACCCACTGCACAGGTGCCTGGGAAGGGCCCAGCCACACCCTGACAAGGCTATGGGAGATGCCCGGGGAAGGTGCCTTTGTCCAGCCAGGGCAAAGAGCAGGTTGCTGGGCTGCATCTCAATTCTAGCGGCCTCAGCTCACCTCTCAAAGCTACCGTGGCCCCACCCCAGCCTTTGGGTCTGCAAAGCCCTCCCAGGGCTCCTCCGGCTCCTCCCACCGCCTTGCTGGGAAGGGACTGCCAACCTCAGCTCCCCAGACCCTCTGAGGGCCCAGTCAGTCCCTGGGGCTTCCTCCTAGGCACACCTCCTTCCCCTCCATTGGACACACAACTCCCTGCTGGGGTCCCTGCCCGAGGGCTCTTGTCAGGCCAGTAGAGGGGCTGAAGGAGATACTCCCCAAGTCCATCCAAGTGCGGGAGCTGGGTAAGAGGTGGGAAAATGAATATTAATTTATCATGATTAGGCAAATCCGGCAGGGAGCACTGATTCAGGCGGAGGAGGCTAAAAAGATGAATTTCAGCAATAAAATTAAATAAGGACGGACGGGCGGGCGGCCCCTCCTCCCTCCTGCTTTGCTGATCTCTTCTCTTTCTTACAATTTATGAGGCCAATTATGAAGATGAGGTTGGAAGTTCCTGGAACTTCACTAAATGCAAACGGCGGTCCCTGCTGTTCCCATCAAATTAATTAACCGCGTGCTATTGATGGCCGCTCGAGGCTGACGCCAGCAGCCCACCCTGCGGCCTCCTCTGTGGACACCGGGCCTGGGGCCCAGGGCCCAGACCCGGCTCCTCTGCCTTCCACAGTCCCTGTCCCACCCCCAGGGCCTGTCTCCCTGCTCCAGGCCTGCCTGAACCCCGGACAACATGGGGCCGCACCCCAAGGCCTGGATGGACAGGGACACATACTCAGTTGTTAAGTAAAGACCGCAACACACAGTCACATGGCCCACAAGTACACAGGCACGCAGTGACCATGCAGCCTCATACAGCACCTCCCCAGCCCCCACATGTATGAAAAGGAAGAGGGGAGCCAGGGGAGACCACCATGTCAGGGCTGTGGACTGGCTTAGTTCACCAGCAGCGAGACGTGGCCTTGGGGGCCTGGCTTTGGTTCACCTTCCTGGTGTCATCCTCAAGAACCCCTGAGGCGCCTCAGGGGTGACTCCTCCAGGTCTGACTCTTCCAGGTCTGCTGCAGGGCTAGCCTCAGCCCTGGCCCCAGGTGGGGACAGTGATGGCAGTGAGATCTGGCCCAGAAGCTGGGACACTTTGGGGTTTCAGCCCTGAGAATCCCCCACTTCCAGAGCTGAGCCAGGGCTGCCAGGAGCTCCCCACAGGGGAGAGTGGACACCCCAGAGGGCTTGGTGCCACTTCTCCTGGACCGTGCTGACTCTCACGTAGGTCTGCAATCTGAAGGGCACAGATCAGCCCATGCTGCGGCTCCCACGTGGAGCCTTCATGGGGCGGAGAGGGGGCTGAGGCCAGGCCTTCCAAGCCTGTTCCCCACGCAGCAGTGGGAATATCAGTCTGCAGAAGCGGGGCCCCAGGGTACCCGCAAGCTGAGGTGGCCTCGCAGGCCCCACACTGGGTGGGGCCAGCACCTGTACACCCATAGCCTCCCTCCGTTAGCAACCTAGGTGCAAACACTATTGACCTGCTCCCCCTCTGGGGCAAGGGTGTGCCAACCCGGGGAAGAGATCAGGCTGCTGCCTGCCAGGGCCAGGCAGGGCAGAGCAGCCCCAGGAGGACCAGTGCCTGAGGACTGAAACTAAAGGAGGTGTGGGCTGCACCCGGAGCTGTGGGGAGAAAGGCCAGATCTGCGCCCGCGGCCGCCCACCCTCACTCCCCCAGGCACGGGGCTTCCCCTCCTGGCAGCAGCTACCCTTCAGAGGGCCAGAGGCCCCAGCAGGACTCGCCTGGGCCGCGGCCCCCTGGTGTATCTAGTCCCCTGGTGCACCACCACAAGTTTAGTGCCTTGGCAACACCCACTATTCACCTCACAGCTGATGGGTCCACAGCCAGCCACCGGTGTCAGTCAACAGCGTGGCAGCGCTGTGTCCTTCCTGTAGCCAGTCTTCCCCAGGCTGCCACACACTTCCCCCTGCTTCTTCCACCCGACGCCTCTCCGCTCTTGCTGACCCCCTTTAGGTCCCCAGGAGAATCACCTCATCTCGATGGCCAGCCCTAACCACAGCTGCGTCCCTCTAGACAGGGGCAACACAGCCACTGGAGGGCACCACCCCAGTGCAAGCTCCCGGGAGCGCAGCAGCAGTCTCCTCAGCCCAGGGTTGTTGCCCTTGCAGGGGGGCAGACCAGGAATCTGTATGTTTGAGGGCACACCCCAAATTCTGAGTCTCCTCAGGTAAAAGGTGAAGGCAGATGGGAGGAGCAGCACCAGAAACAGCGTCAGCTGGGGCTCAGGGTGCTGGGCGTGGCACTTCCGGTCGGTGTGGCCGGTTACCAGTGCCACCACAGTGGGCCCTGTTCCTTAGCCTGGGGCTGCTGGGGCACAGGGGACACAACTGCACAAGGGGCCTTAGGCTAGTCTTTGGCTTCTGCTGATCCTACCCTTGGCGGGGCCGTGGCAGGCCCCGTGAGGAGCCCCTACAAGCCCCCAACTGCTCCAGGTGCTAAGGCCCCTGGGGAGTAGGTCTGCTTCAGCGGTCTGCCTCTGACCAGGGCTCTGGCTGTGGACGTGGCTTCCCGACCCCCTCCAGAAGGCTGGCATCTAGACTTCGGCCCAAGGCCCGCTGCTCAGGCTACGAGGGCCACATAATCACTTGCTTGCCTATGTGTGTTTTGATGGGGGGTCTTGCTAAATTGCTGAGGCTAGGTCCAAACTCTCAATCCTTCTGCTTCAGTTCCCTAATAGCTGGGGTTACATGCAGGAGCCACCACACCGCCCCAGGACTGAGACCAGGGCCGTGGGGGGCAGCTCTGCAGGCTGCCGGCACCTCCACTTGGCATCTAGCACGCTCATGGTGGGCACCCACCCTGGGCCCAAGTTCAGGTCAGAACTGCCCATCAAGCGCAGCTCCAAGGTTCCTGCGATCCGCACGGCAGCCTTCTCTGCGCTCTGCGCCCACAGGGCTCCAGCACTTCTGGCCTCTACCACTGGCCCCACTTGTCTGGTCTGGGTGGCAGGCGGACAGCGGAGAGGCAGGGCTCACACACCAGACAGGCTGAGTCCGATGCATTTTACTGGGTCCCCCACCCCTGGGTCTGCAGACACTGCCCTTCCAGAGCTGGGGTGCCCGCTTCTCTTCCACTGCACAAGAAGCAGCTGCAAGGTGGCAGCAAATGCAGGTTGCTCTGCTCCCCACTGAAGGGGTCCTGGCTGATAAGCCGCCGCGGCTTCCTTCTCCCCCAGTAGTGAGGCCTTTTCCAGGGTGGGAAGGAGATGCTCAGGAAGCGAGGACGTCAGGCAGTAGCCCTCAGCCCTGTCACCAGTCCCGCTCAGCTGGCTCCCGATAGGGCAGGCCAAGGAGTTGGAAGACATCCTTCTCCGTGGGCGTGGGCAGCACCTGACCAGGGCCCATCTTCAAGCCTTGAGGGCCACGGGCCACGGCTGTGCAGAGTGCATGCTCCGACAGGCTCATGCCCTTGGTCTGGGCCAGAGCCCGCATGGACCGGTTGAAGTGGGCCGAGCCGGTGAAGTAGAGCAGAGCACAGGCGAACTCGCTGTAGGGCACTACGATGATGTCCAGGCGCCGGTGCCTCTGCCCTGGGCCCGGGAGCCGGCACACACCCAGGTACTTCTGCTGCCGGCCACTGTCCTCCTGGCTTACCAGGTCGTCTGTGAGGAAGCCTGGTGAGCACAGGGGGCGCTGGAAGGGCACAGCCAGGCCTGGCCCATCTCCCCGCCTCCCTCAGCCCCTGAACCCTGCTCCCAGCGCGCCAACGCAGTCTTGCGCCAGGGCCATCGCCAGCTGTGGGAGGCGGGCTGAGAACCTGCACCCTCCCATGCTTTGTTCTCCTCCTCAGGGGACTCAGGCCCATGGCTGGGGTTCCCACCTGCCAAGCTGTCTCCCCCTGCGAGTGGCCCACCATGATGGCACAATACCTTGCTGCCTGAGTTTCTCTAGGAGACGACTGAAGATGCCCCGGTGGGACCTGCCGTCAGGGTGGGTGAGGAGCACGTCCACATCTCCACAGGTTGGCTTCCCCCGGCGGTAGGAGCCACACGCCACACACAACAGCCCAGGACTGAAGGCCTGGGCCGCCACTCGCACCTGGAAGAGGGCGGGAGAGAGGGCGGGAGGGGACGGTCCTTGTGCACAGCAGCAGAGGGCCTGCACTGTGCCGCAAGCCGGTCCCCAGGGCTCCCACGGCTGAGGGAATCCTTGGGGGCACCCCTGCTCCCCACACCAGAGCAGGCAGCAGCGTGCCTGCAGTGCCAGCCCATGAGAACCAAGAGGCACTGCTTCCCTCCGGCCTGCTCCGCTCACACCATGCCCGCGTCTGTGTGCTCCTGGGCGGGAGCAGGGGCCAGGAAGCACTCAGCCAGGTCTTGCAGCACCATCTGGGTACAGTCGAGCTGAGGGCAGAGGTGCGAGCAGAGCTGCAGCCCGGCCACCAGGGAAGCAAGGACGCGGAGAACAGAAACAGGAGCGCCGGTGGGAAAGGAGGGCTGGGTGCGCAGGGGCTCAGGGGCCCGCGTGCACCCTCTGGATGGGAAAGGGAGAAACCCCATGAGCCTCCAGCCAGCCCGCCTGGGAGCCCTTCCTGCCTCCGCCCTGCCTCCACCCGGGACTCGCCAGGCAGGATGCTTCCAGTGACACCTCAATTTCTCCGGCCTCCTAGGAGAATGGGAGGAGGAGGAGGCCCCGAAAAGTAATGCCGGCAAAGCCCTGAGGCCTGGTCCCAGAAGGGCCCCGGGGCCAGGTGGGGGCGGGGCGTTCTCTGTGCCTGGACATGGTAGCTGAGTGACATCACCAGCACGGAGCCCGGCGCACGAAGGGGCCTGTCCACCCGTCTACATCAGCTCCCCGCTCCCCAGGCCAGAAATGGAGCTCAAGCCTGACTTCAGCCGAACTGGGCCCATCCCCGAGAATCCTACCATGAAGACCCTGTGCTCACACTCCGGCCCTAGTCGTGGGCCGGCTGAAGAGCCGACACAGCCAGTCCTCCTGCGCTATCTCTCTACTCGAGACTTTACAAACAGTCTGTCAGCCAGTTCGAAGCCAAAACCTTATTTATTACAAATCTTAATTCAATAACCACCAATACCAAAAAAACCCCTCCTATTCCCAAGGCCTAACCTTACTCAATTCTGAGGGCGCTTTCCTGTACCCCCACCAGGCCACCCAGCACTGTGTCCTCACACCAGCCCAGCCTTGGGGGCGCTTCCACGGGAAAGACCCAGGAAAGACCCAGAGCTGACTGCGTGTGTGTGGGGGGTGAGGGCTCACTTTTTTGATCAGGTACTCAACGAAGTCGCCATCAGAGTGAGAGAACCTCTGCCTGACCTGCGTAACCCTGTCGAGGCACTGTGCAGGAGCTGGGAGAGTGCCTGCTCACCTTCCAGCACAGCGGCACCCAGCACCCACACCGCCGAGCTGGGACTCTCCCCTGGAGCCCCCCACCTCCTCCGGGCTGTAGCTTTGGTCCCAACTCACCCCTCCCACCCTCTGGCGACCCACAGTGTCCCCTGGCTTCTGGGCTTCCCAGCTGACACGTTAGGGGTGCTTAGACTGCACTAGAACCCTGTTCACAGGCCTGGATCTCCTCGCTGCTCTGGGGCGCCTGCTTACAGTTTGCTCAATCTCTGCAGCTTCCTCTCTGGGCATGCGCTCCAGGAAGTCGCTGTAATGCTTCAGGCCAATGGCTTGCTGGGCAGTCAGGGAGGCCCTGCTGCGAATGTCTTCCAGGCTCCTGAAGCCCTGGAAAAAAGCAGCAAGACAGAGGGCATGAGGAACCGAGGCTGACAGGTGGGTGAGCAGGCACACAGGAGACCTGCTGGCCTGCGTTCTGGGTAAGGCCTGAGGCGGGGCCAACCCTGGCACAAGTGGGTCTGGCCTGGGAGTTCTGGTGAAGGCAGGGCAGGGACACAGCTCCAAAACACTGGGCTGGGGATGGTTCGGGGCCTGTCATTACCAAGTCCCCAGGGGACTCGGGCAGCCAGGCTTGAGGGCTGCTGCTCTGGCTATGCAGTCAGGAAGGCCATGCTGCTCTGAAGGGCAGAGAAACACACTTTCCGCTCCTGTGCATACCGTAAGGGTACCAAACCACAGGGCTGTTCTGGGAGCAGGAGGGCCTGCTGAAGTCCTGGGACTTAAAAGTTATTTATGGGGGCTGGAGAGATGGCTCAGTGGTCTAAAGCACCTACTTGAAACAAGCTTGTCAAAGCACAGGGACTGCGGTTCAATCCCCAGCACCACATGCCAGCCAGCCCCGCCCCCTGGTGGGCTGAGCTGGCCACACACACACACAATAAATAAATGTAATAAATAAAAATAAATATTTAAAAAAAAGTTATTTATGTATTTGGTACAGGGTATCATTACACAGCTTGGACTCATAGCGATCCTCCTGTTTTCAGTCTCCCCCGCCCTCGGATTACAGGTGTGCACCACCACACCCAGTCTAGCCCTACTCCTCGTGAAAAGCACTTTCCTATTAGCATAAGTTTATTCCCACCGGAGTGCAGCAGAGGAAAATAATACCCAGGGGAAGGGCGCTAGGGGGCAGGACTTCAAGACCCAGCAACATGGAAGGGGCTGCTGGGCTCGGCCATAACCTGATGGTACCACATCTGGGCGGTCTTGGTCCCAGCTCCCCAGATGTTGGAGAAGAGTTCCAAAACAGGCACACTCTCGCTGATATGGTCCAACTTCCGCAAATGCCCACTCTCCAGGATCTCCATGACCTTTTCAGCCATCCGCTTCCCAACCCCAGGAATGCTGCAGGCTTCCTGCAGGAGGAAGGAGGGGTGGCCGTGGCTGCAGGGAAGCTGACTGCCTTGAGAGGTGTGCGTGCAAAAGCCAGCCCAGAGCGTGCAGCTGTGGAACCTGCCTGTGGGTTCCTCGCTGCAAGGAGACAAACAACGACCCATGACCACTGTCACTGCCATCGCCACAGTGGGGAGCCAGCACTGAAGGGGCCGCCTGCACATCAGCTCCATGCTACAGGAGCTATGTCCTTTCACCCTCACAAAAGCACTGTGCACAAGTTACTACTCTTACTGTTTTCATTCATGACAGAACTGATGCCCAGAGAGTTTATGTACCTTGCCTAGAGCCACATATTAGTAATGTCTGTTTGGTTTCAGCATCTAAACTGTTTTAAAAAAAAAAGAAAGAAAAGGGGGGCCGGGGAGATGGCTCAGTGGAATAACTGCTTCCCTGGCAAGCGCCAAGGGCCTGAGTTCAAACCCCGGGTCCACCAAAAAAAGCAAACAAACAAACAAACAAAATATATATATTAAAAAGAATAGCATAATGAACCCTTAGGCACCAATGAACCCCCCCTTTAACAATTATCAAGACTGAGCTGGCATGATGCACATGCCTGTAACTCTAGACCTCAGTAGGATGAGGCAGGAGGACTGTTTCGAGTTCGAGACCAGACTAGGCTAAGCAGCAGCTGAAGCCCAGCCTAAACTGCATAGGGAGACCTATCTCTAAAAACAAAACCAAACCCAACCCAGTTCTGAAGACTGTGCCTGTCCACCTTCATCACACTCGCATTTCCTTTCTTTCGGGCAAATCCCAGTGCTACGGTTGGTATCTAGATGTCCCCTCGGAGCCCCTGTGATCAGAGGCTTCGGGAGCATGCTGGCCATGCTGGAGCCTACTGTCAGGAGGGGTCTGGTCGGAAGAGGGGGGTCCGGGGACAGCCCCGGGCAGTGGTATTTCCCACCCTGTCTTCTTCCTTCCCTCTCTGCTTCCTGGTCACCATACAGTGGGCTATTTTCCTGCACCATCCCAAGTCAGCAGGCCATGAACTACAACTGAGTCAATTCTTCTTCTAAGTTGTAGGCGTCAGACATTATGTTTCAGCCACAGGAAAATGGTTGAAAGACAGATTTTGGTGCCAAAGAAGTAGGTCACTGCTGTGACTCTATCTGACCATGTGGCTCAGAAGCCTTTGGACCTGGTCACCAAGGCTTCTCTGGCTGGAAGAGTTCGGTAGTATTTGGAAACGTGGCTAAGGAAACCTTAGAATGCCATAAGTTCATTCTGTTCAAAGTTCAGAAGATCAAAGTTCTGACAGAAACGCAACGAGGTATAGGAGGCCTCAGTTGGGAGCACAACTCCATCGTCAGCTGGACTTGAGAACATGTATGTTATACTCTGGCAGGTGCTGGTCTACACTTATGTCCTGGGACTTTGCAGGAGGCTGAGACTACGGGTGTGGGGCTAACGAACGTGGCAGAGTTTCAAGGAAGCCCAGTGTTGAGGATGCAGTAAGGGCACTGTTGGTGAATTTTAGCTATAGCTACTGCGAGAAGCAGTATCAAATAGTGGAGTTGAAAAATTAAAAAATTTTTTTCTGGTGACCAGAAAGGCAGCTCCTATAACGCTGAGGCCTATAAACAGTGGAGCCTGTAAACTTTTGGCTACAGAAAGACTGGTTGTTGAAAAGATTAGCACTAAAATGAAGTCAAGTACTTTGCATCAGGATAGTAAGAAAGATGCTTTAAGGGCATATGAGAAATCAGCAAAATCTCACCCTTCATAAGCTCCAGTGTCCAAAATGAAAGACTTTGGGGCTGGCCAAATAGCTCTGCGGACGAAAGCACCTGTAAGGAGGCGCAGGGGCTGGGGATTCGATCCCTGGACCTGCTGTGTTGACCCCACCCCTAGGGCGGACTGAGAAGGCAATTGAGACTGGGCATGGTGGCGTGTGCCTATAATCCCAGCTCTTGGGAGGCTGTGAACAGGCGGATCACTGAGTCTGATCTAGTAGTGAGACCCTATAGACCATTCAGACCTTTCCCCAAAATACAAAAAAAAAAAAGAAAAAAGAAAAGAAAAAGACTTTGCTTTGAGAAGAAAGCCCCAGGGTAGCCCGCGTAAGAAGGCCTGGCTAGGGAACCAATTCTTTGGAATTCAGTTCCCAATGCTCAGGCATCCAGGCGCACAAAGGCCTCCGTCATGATCCAAGGGGCGTGGTACCGCTCGAGCTGGCAGCAGACCCTGGAATCATGCATACGGTCCAGGCCTTACGCGCGTGCAGAACGCTCGAGCCGTGGGTCTCAGGGGCACCCACCTGAAGCTCAGAAGGACTAAAAGATGAAGCAGTGTGGCCTGAGGGGCAGAAAGCTGCGAGAGCGAAGCTGAAATACAGTGGAGATGCCAGGAGGCTGGAAAACACAGACCTCAGAACGCCTGCAGAGGAAGGAAGGTCACAGGCAGTGCGCAAGCCACGCGGGGAGAGGCCATGAGATCTCCACCAGGCAATGCCATAGGCATGAGGCCGCCAAGCCTCCTGAATTCACCTGTTGCCACACCTGGCCCAGGTGCTAGACACAGACCTATAGGATTTAACACCTGCCCTGCTGGATTTCAGTCTTGCTTTGGTCTTATGTCTTCCTATCCCCTAATCCTCTCAGAATGGGACTATTTACCCTGTACCACTGTATGACTGTCTGCACTGTTTAACTTTCTTTTTTCTTTTTCTTTTTTCTTTTTAAAGGGGTTCACAACGAATGTTTGCCTTTAGTCTCAGAGAACACTCTGGACTTGGACTTTTCAGTAATGCTGAACTGTAAGGACTTTGGCGACTCTTACAGACTGACTGCATGCATTTTGCCTAAAGAGATGCATATGAGTCTTTTGGGAGCCAGGGGCTAAATGTTCTGGGCAGTATCTAGATGTTCTCCACGAGGCTCACGCACTCAGAGGCCGGGCCTTTGTAGGATCAGACCATGCTGTCAGGACACAAGCAAATCCCAAGTTGCTGGGTCTAGCTGGAAGAGTTGGGTGGCAGGAGCCACGACCTGGAAGGTTGTATTTTCCTCCCCGACCTGTCCCCTCTCTGTTTCCAGCATTCCTGTTATTTCCTTCTGCCATCTGTTTCTGTCCTAGAACCAGTGCACTATGAAAGCAACTGCGAGCCAACTTACAGCTCTCCATTAACTTGCAGATGTTAAGTAGCACGCCTCAGCAAAGGTGAGTAAGACACCTGGGCACCATAAGATCTTAGCCACAAGACCTCAAGCCCATTGGCCACTGAGCACCAGTAAGGAGAAGACTCACACATACCTGGTAGGAGCCGACAGGCTTATGGAAGCTCTTGAGGGCATTGATGGCTTTGGCATAACCCAGGGCCCTCCATTTGTCTCCCTGAACACTGTAGGCCTTGGCCAACACTTCCAGCTTCTCTGTGATGTGCAGGTTGTGGTTGGTCGCCTTCTGGCTAGAGGACTGTGCACAGACCCACTTATCTAGGGCCTCTGGGGCTGGGCTGGGCCCACTGTTTTCCTCATTTGGGGTGGGGCAGTGGCCACTGATCAGCACTTCCAGATCAGCTGCACTAACCGCGGGCCCTTCTGCATCACTGGTTTCATCATCAGAGCTGGGCTTGAGGTAGGGAAGGAAAAGAGATAATAAATTATTCCCTCCATGAAGAGGGCTCCTTGAAGGTGGGTGTTGTCTTTGGGGCTTTGGCATCAGGACTGTGCACCCTTAAATGTGGGGCTGTTTTACGTTGCCTTCCCCAGTGCTTGGGTCTAGGATCCCCAGTGGTGCGTGGTAACCATGGCCTTGGTGAATGTGGGAAGACAGATGTAAGGAAGAGCTAAATGGTTTCTGCCCCAATTTCTATGATCAGGAAGGGAGCTATGAGGGCTGGGTGGCTTCTGACCTGAGTGTGGGTACTTGGTGCTTCGTCTGCCTTTTGGGGAGGAGATATGGCTCCCCTGGGAGGAGAGTCGGCTGATTTTAGTAGAACCTCGCGGGTCCCAGGAGGAGCAGAAGAGTCTTGGTCAGCCTGGCTGGACTGTGCTTGGTCCAAGTACCTGGGAGGATGGTGACAGAGGTTAAGACACCAAAGGTTTCATCCTGTCTCTGACCCCAATCCTTCTCTATTCCAAAAGCTTCGTTTTCTACTGTGTCCAGGTTCAAAAGTTATAGTTCTCCTGAATAACTCCAGAAAAAGCTAAAGTTGCTGCCGCAGACCACTGAGAGAACCCTAAACCACTCACCTGCTGGGGATGAGGATGCAGAAGCGGGCTGTGTCCACCAGCCTTCCTTCTTGTAGACACAAGCTCAGCCAGGCTGACTTTACCAGCTGAGCACCGGGAGGCAGCCGGGGCAGCCCAAGGAGGCGCAGGGCCCGCTCACAGTCCATGGCTTCATCCACCACGATGTGCGTGACCCCTGGGGCCTGGGCAGGGCATATCTGCCCGCCATGCTGGATAATCTGCTTCTCGAAGAGTTCCGCCCGGGCCCGTCCAATGCCAGTGGGCACAACATGGGCCCTCAGGGAGCTCAGCCATCCTGGGGAAGGGACATCCATGTATCTATTTTCACAACTTTTAGGTATGATCAGAACGAACCATTTTCAGTCTCCTCTCTCCCAAGCCCTTTCTCTGCATGCAGACAGCCTGCCTTCTGGGGATTCTATGACACGCACACAGCCCAGTGTCCCGTGAGCCATCACTTGAAAGCAAAGCATTAACGTTTTTACACGTCCCGGCCCTAGTGCAACCCAGCACACTGTTGGCAACCTTAAGTATCTGTGAAATGAAGGCGTAAATACACGCTTTCTCCCGGCTGGAGCTACTTCGCTTTATCATTTATTCTTTCAAGAAGCCACATGTCCTTATTCCACAGCCTGGGCGAACTGAGCCACGCTCCTAAGCCCGTAAGGTCTCTGCCATTGATTTATTTTTCTAGTTGAGCTCTCACTATGTTGTGCATGCTGTCCTCGAACTTTCAGTCTTCCTGCCTTAGCCTCCCCAGGGGCTGGCGCTAGAGGCACGTGTCACTGCTCCAGCCATCTGTTTGTCAATTTGATTGCAAAAAACTTAAAACAAGGATCACACAGGGAATTTCTTCTGCCCTTAGGTCAGCCTCCTGAATGAGCAAAGAATTCTACTGGTCATTTCCCAAGGGACAGGGAGAACTTTCTGACTTGTGGGGGTCATGAGGTAGGGAAGAACGCAGCACAGCAAGGCCAAGACAGAGGACAAAGGCTGGCAAAGACAGGCACAAATGAGCCTGTCCACCCAGAACAGGCAGCATCAGCCCCAGTACCCGGCTCTGGATAGAACAGTGCAGGGCTGAACAGTGGGAAGGTGGATGGTTCGGCCGCATGAGCTCTGAGGGCGTGGTTGCTCACCTCTTGCTTCTTCCTCTTGCCTCTTGGGAAACTTTGCGGGTGCATTTGACGGTAGGTTAGCATGGGGGTTTTTTCTCTTGGGAAATGCTTTCAAGATGCCCCTGGGGTCCATTGAAGTATAGCTGGATCCTGGTTGTTGTAAGGGTTGGTCAGGGCAGATATGAAGAACTCTAAAACTGACTCACAACTCTTGCCTACACAGTTGGGGGGGGGGGGGCTCTGCGGAGGATGCAGCCCCGGAGTTCCCAGGAGTCTCCGAAAGTCCAGCTATAGCCTACCTCTATGTTCAGCAGCCTCTCAAAGGTAGAGTACCCTCGCTGGCGCTCCTGGGGGAGGAAACGATATCATCCTTCAAAAGGGTCGCTCTGCCACTCAGCTCAGGATCGCACTGTCAAAGGCCTCTTGCCCAGAGGGACGCCAGGCTGGAAACGGACCCACAGCGTGAGGAAGGCCCTCTTCTCCGCTCCACTCCCCACGTACTCTCGCACTGCGGGGAGCAGGAGGGCTTCCCCGGGACACTGGGACCGCTGCCGCCCGCCTCTGCGCTGGGGTGTCGGCCCGCAGCTGCAGGTAGATGGGGCACGGGCACGGCCGCAGCGGCAGCAGGTGTGGGGTGCCCTCTGGGACTGGGGAGCCTCAGCTCGCAGCTGGGAGCCAACACCAGAGCAGGTGCGGGGCAGCCGCCGCGAGCGCAGCTGCGTGGGCCAGGCAGGCGCTCCCAGCTGCGAGCCAGAGTCAGGGGCGCTGACCCGGGCACCCGACGTCTCGCCGGGCGGGAGCTCACCCAGCCGGGAGGACCACGCCACCCACCCGGGCCCGACCGCGCCGCAAGGCAGTGGGCGGGAGCGGCGAGCCGACGCCTTCCGGGTCAGCCGGAAGCGGCCGCCGTCCTCCGGCCCCCGACGGTTACCATGGCAGCGGCGGGCGCGGGCGGCGCGCGGAGATGGCGCCGGCCGGCTGGCTGGAGCGTCTGCGGGCGGCGGAGAAGACGGCGTTGCTGCAGGACGGTAGGCAAGCTCCCTCGCTTCCTCCCCCGGGATCCGGCCTCCGCGCGGGAGCCCCGGGAAGCGCTTCCGGGCCGAGCGGCCGCCGGCCGGGCCAGCGCCTGCACTTGCAGCGAGGACCCTGAGGCCCCGCGAGGGCCAGGGCCGGAGCCCGCTCGGGCCGACGCCCGGTGCCTGCCCCCGCCGCCCCGCCGCGCGGTTACCTGCCCGTCGCGGGCGCGCCTGCGGAGGAAGCGTCCTTGTCATGCTCATTTCCCGTTTGCTCCGTACTGTAGTCCTGAGAGGCGGGTTTCCCACCCTGCCTTACCGAGGGGGACCGAAGTCCAGAGAGGTTGTCGGCCAGCCCAGCCCCCCACCAGCGGACGCTACAGGCAGGTCTTGCGCTGAGCCCCGACCCCCAGTGTGGGGTTTGGAGCCGTTAATTGCTCCCACCGCTGGCTCAGAGGTCTGTTCAGCTGTGCTGTCACGTTGTGAGGTGAAACTGTCGGTGTGCTTGGATCTTTAGCGAGGATAGACAGACACCAAAGGCTGCAGCAGAGCCTGTAAGCCCAGGCTTTTGTCTGCACTAGAATTGCCTGGTGTAGCCCCCACCCTCCCTTTGCTTCAGGGTTTTTTCTTCGACCCAGAAGAATTGGGTCTGAATTTCTAAGGCTTTAAAGGTAACAGCTAGAGGCACAGCCAGATAGCTCAGCGGATTAAAGCGCCTGCTTAGGCAGATGCACAGACCCGGGTTTGATCCCAGCACACCGTGCAGCCCCAGCGCGGAAACAGCAACTGAGACTGGGTGTGGTGGTGCGCCTGTAATCCCAGCGCTTGGGAGGCAGAAAACAGGAGTATCACTACGACTCCGATCTGTGTAGTGAGACCCTGTAGACCCTGTGCTAAATACATTAAAATAAACGTAACAGTTGAGGACACACAGATAGAGGCCAATCAAGGAAACCTGGAGTTTGTGAAAATTAAGATCAGCTGCTCACTGCTCATTCGTTGGCTTGTGCAAGATTTAGAAGCTTTAACTATGTAGGGAGAGAGGTTGGGACCTTAGAGCAAGACCATGGAAATGATCATCTCTTCAGAGATAGGTGAGGTGATGTTCTGGGCCCAGTGAAATTAACAGGTGCTTAATGAACGAAGAGGGATTGTTGAGGCAGGAGGACTTACCTGCATGTAAAGCCCTGCAGGTGTCAAAGTTTCCAGCTGGTTAATTAAGGAATAACAAAATGCTTAGTGATGTGCGAGCATTCACCAGCTGTAACAAACCCCAGACCCAGGTACTGCACTGGTGCTAGGATTGAGGGTGAGTAAAGGGTCTCTCTTCTGAAGGAGCAACGAGCAGTGGTGCAGAGCAGGAAACTGCAGATGAAGTGGGGCATGCAGCGATCTCTTACACCACATAGGAAGTTCTGGGCATTATCTCCGAAGATGGTGGCCCTTGGTTTTTATTATAGCGAGAAACATGTACCATAAAATATGTCAGGCTAGCCGTTGTGTGTGTGTGCAGTTCAGTTGCACTAATTACGTTCACAGTGTCGTACAACCGTCAGCACCATCCACCTGCAGAACCGTTCATCTTCCTCAGCTGAAACTCTTGAATCATGAAGCCTAACTCCTCAGTCCCTCCTCCCCACAGCCCCGGCAGTCAGCATTCAAATTCTGTATCTAATTCCCAGAATCCGATGGTTCTGGGAACCTTATATAAGCCCATGAAGGCGGAAATCAGACAGTACAGTATTTGTTCTTTTGTGACTGGCCTGTGGCACATAGTATAATGTCTTCAAGGTTCATCTTTCTAGCATGTGTCAGAATATCTTTCCTTTTTTTTTTTTTTTTGTGGAACCAGGGATTGAATTCAGGCCCTTGTGCTTGCTAGGCAAGCACTTATTCTACTGAGCCATCTCCCTGGCCCCATATCTTTCCTTTTTAAAGCGCATAATACCCCCAGAGTGTATATGTGTGTGTGTTTATAATGTTTCATTTATTCATCTGTTGCTAGATGCCTCTGTGTCTTCCAACTTTTGCATGCTGTGACTAATGGTGTGAACACAAACACCAAGAACTATTTAAGTCCCAGCTTTTACTGCTGCTCATCACAGGACAGTGTGTAAAGTAGAACTGGAATAAAATAATATGTGGGGCGGGCTGGCTTTCTTTTTTTTTTTTGTACTGGGAATCAAACTTAAGACCTTGCTTTTGCCAGGCGGGTGCTTGTGCCACTGAGCTATATCCCTAGCCCTCTTTTTTTTTTTTTTTTTTTGAGATGGGACCTCGCTGTGTAGCCCAGACTGGCCTTCAACTCATGGCAGCCCTCCTGCCTCAGCCTCCCGATGCTGGAATATTGTAGGCATGTACCACCATGCCTGGCCTAACCAAATATTTCACCAGCCAGGATGTGTTAAATTCTTTTGTTTATAGCATCAAAAGTGATGTTGCCAAGATCATTTTTCAAACCAAAAAAAAAGTATTGAATATATGGATTTGCTTTTTTGAGCCACCTGCAGGGTGCCGGGGAGATAGCTCAATAGAATAAGCACTTGCCTGGCACAAGGGCCTGAGTTCAATCCCTAGTTTCAACTTTGCAGGTATTTAAAACCATACCTGTTATTCTAATCCAGTGATTGCAACCTAGACTTTGACCCCAAAAGGATAAAACCCCAGCTGTTATTTCCTAGTTTTATGGTGTTGGATAAAGTTTATTTGGGGGGGGGGGTACCAGCAGTCAGACACAGGGCCTTGTGCTTGCCAGGCAGGTGCTGTGCCACCAAACTATATCTCTGGCCCCTTGGGCAAGTTTCATGCCCTTTACAACTCCATCTTCCTCATCTGTGAAATACAGGAGACATGTTGGACTATTATGAGAGCAACATTCCATAAAACATGACGTGCCTGGGGTGACCGACCGTGGCTGCTGCATTCTGCCTGAGCTCGAGGCTGGATGCCAGTAACAAAGGCCGTTCTGGCTGACCCCTCCAGTCCTTGCCGGCCACGCTGTGTCCCTCTTTGCTGACAGGAAAGCCCCTTCTAGCTCTTGGGAATATCTAGATGGTTTAGTGGGATGTATGATAGGAATCTGCCCAGAAGCCCTTCACATTTGGGGTGAATTTTCTTGAAATAGAAATTAGGAATGACTCAAGGGAGCTGTGTCCCAGAAAAACAATGATTTTTTTTTTTTTTTTTTTTTTTTTGGCAGAACTAGGGATTGAACTCAGACCCTTGTGCTTGCCAGCCAAGCTCTTATTCTACTGAGCCATCTCCCTGGCCCCCTAGAGCAGTGATTTAAATGAGAAAAAGCCACCACAGGGCTGTTACTCGCAAGCTTATATAGTATGAGTGTGAGTCTACTAGGCATTAGGACCATGTTTTTAGTCTTTGTGTCTACTAACAGGTCTGCAGGAAGGAGGGATGACAGCCCTTAAGCAGAGGCTTACGGTTACACTGCATGGGGAGAGGGATTGGGCCGGAAACTCTTTTGGATTCTCTGTTCTTTCAGTGGATGTGGGGCATCAGTGCCTATTCATTCTTTCAAGAATGGCCTAGAAGCCTGGTGAGGCTGAGGCAAGGATCGCTGTGTGTTCAAGGCCAGCCTGGGCTATATAGTGAGACCCTGTCTCAAAAACAAGGAACTAGGAGTGTCTGGACGGAGACAGAGCAGCACTGGGCTGGAGAGACACTGGCTCAGGGTGCCTTGTTGGAGAGCCAGAGCGAGAGATATTTGATGTTCACACCGAATGCTTTTTCTTTTCTTTTTTTTTTTTTCCTTTTTGGCGGAACCGGGGATTGAACTCAGGCCCTTGGGCTTGCCAGGCAAGCGCTTACTCTATGAGCCACCTCCCCGGCCCCAACACGCTGAATGCTTTCTAAAATGTCATACTATGTGATAAGCGCTGCACTGTGGACATGATGCAGCGGCAGGAAGGCCGGGTGAGGAGGGGGTAATTGTGCCAAGGTGGCTGCAGGTGACAGTTACTGGAGGCTTCCTGGCGGAAGCGCTGTGCGGGCTGGACCGTGAAGAATGGGGAAGAGGCCTGCCGAGGGGCAGAAGCGGCGCACGGCTGGCAGAGGAGGAGCGGCCCGGAGCGCCGAGGACCCGCGGGTCGGCCCGGCGTGGCTTCCGGGGCTCTGGGCGGCCGCCGCGCACCTCCTTCCGCGAGGGCAGGAGCCGAGAGGCGTGCGCTGAGGCGAGGTGCGCTCTGCTTTCCTCTAGGGCGAAGAAAGGTGCATTACTTGTTCCCAGATGGGAAGGAAATGGCCGAGGAGTACGACGAGAAGACCAGTGAGCTGCTCGGTAAGTGACAGGCTCCCCGACCTTTGGGAACACGGGGGCTCGCTGCGGGGCTGGCGCGGGCGCACCCCGGGACCAGCGAGGGGACCTGCGGATCTTCAGCGGGGCGTCAGGTGCGGCGCGCCCCAGGGGCAGGGAGGCCAGGCCAGGGGGTTGGCCTGTTTCACTCCGTGAGCTCCAGGGTGCACCCCTGTGCCCCGGGTTCAATCCCAGCACTTCAGAAAGCCGAAACACAGCTTCGCGTCGCTTTGCCCGTAGTAGTAGCAGTGTTGTCCATTAGTACAGGTCTGCGGTGCGCAGTAGATGCATTCCTTGCGGGCAGCTGGAACGGACACGTAATTCCGCCCCCCCCTTCTCAGGCACCTTCTCGTGTGCCAGAGCGCCATCTCCTTACTTCCTGTTGTCGAAACCATGTTTTTAAATCTTGTGTCTGATTTATCTCACTTAACATTATGGATTCAAGGTGCATCTGTTTTCCACAGATGACTTGATTGTATCCTTCTTTATGGCAGAATAGTACTCCACTGTGTGTAAATGCCACCTTATCACAAAAAAAAAAAAAAAATCCTTATTCCCTTTGGGGGCCTGGCCCTAGCTCAGGCCTTTAAGTGGCTGCTTCCACAAAGCTGTCAGCCTCAGGTTGCTGGACTTCGAACCTCACAACTCTCCCGCTGGCCAAAAGTGCCCTGAAGGCATTCAAGGAACAAAAAAAAAAAAAATCCTTACAAATGCCGCCTTATCTGTTCATCTAGTGATGGATGGACACAGAGATCATCTCTCCAACTTGGCCATTATGCATGTGCTACTTTACATGACCGTGCGTATGTCACAGTACTAAGGTATTTCTCACTCTTTCAGGAAGGTGCCTAGAAGGGGAATAGCTGGGTCAAACAAAATTTCAATTTTTATTTTTTTCACTCACTTCACGCTGATTTCCACAGTGGCTACACTAGTTAATTCTTTTTTTTTTTTTTTTTAAGATGTCCTCATTTTATTTTATTTATTTATTTTTTTTAATTTTATTCGTGTGTGTGTGTGTGGCCAGCTCAGCCCACCAGGGAGGGGGGCTGGCTGGCATGTGGTGCTGGGGGATTGAACCGCAGTCCCTGTGCTTTGCTTAGCTTGTTTTAGGTAGGTGCTTTAGACCACTGAGCCATCTCACCAGCCCTACACTAGTTAATTCTTGCCTTTCTTTCTGGAATAAAACAGAATCTCATTGTTTTAATTTGCATTTCTTTCTTCCTTTTTTTTTTTGCAGAACCAGGGATTGAACTCAAGCCCTTGCGCTTGCCAGGCAAGCACTTATTCTACTGCGCTATCTCCCCAGCCCTTCTTCTTGTTTTTTTTTTTTTTTTTT